TATATATATATATATAAATATGTACTATATGTGTAAAGTATACCTCTTTAAGTCCCTTTAGTGTTGTGGGATTCTCAGCAGTGGGTGCCCATAGCTTCACATCATGGTCCAAACCACTGGTGGCTAAACCTGGAAGATGAGGATGTGGCTCCAGACAGTTCACCTTAACACAGAAAGATTTTTTTCAAACCAGAAGTTCAATGATCTAGTTCAATTTAGTGAAGTGACAGTGTCTTACCACTCCTCCCCGGTCTCCCTCCATAAACTGAACCACACGAGCAGAGTTTTTATCCCACAGGTAGATGTGTCCACAGTCACTGCCACTGACAACAAACTCACTACAGGGACCGTAAAAGTTAACTCCCTTCACTGAAGGAGGATTTTCCAATAGCAGATGGAATAAGAAAAAATGGGGAGAGGATTAAGAACTGGATTGTATTGGTTATAACATGCATGCAAACTGTGATGCAAGCACTATACTGCAATGAAATCAAATAGAAAGTACCTGTAGCATTGTTGCGGTGACCCTTGTATCTCCTGCGGTAATCTGCTCCATCACTGTGGCTGGAGTCAAAAAGGTAAATGTCCTCATCATTGTAACTTGCCAGCAGTTCTGAAAGACAGTTCAACAATGACACACTTTGAATGTTGCTACAACAAACCATGTAATGTAAAGCATGCAACCATACAAGAATCCCGTTCTGATAGTTTTAAGTGTACATATTACCTGTGCCGTCATGGCTGTACACTAAACAGGTAATATTTGTTTTGGACTCGCTGGACACCAAGTGAGAGGGACAAAACTTCTTCAGCACACCATTATTATCGTGTTCATTTATTTTTCTCTGGTCATAGATCCTATCATATAAAGAGAGGAAGAGAGAGAAGCAGTGAATGATGCAGGACAATAGTTGCCCAGTCACAGTGCCTTTGGAGAAACAGCTGTAACAAGTATAAAGTTTGACAGCTGTATCAGAAGCAGCTTGTGATGAAGACAGCAGCATGACTTCTGTGCAGATGAGGCGATATATCAGCAATGATGTTTGTCTCACCTGACATACTGGTCTCTTCCACCTACAGCAAAGTGATGAGTGTTGGCTGGATTCACGAAAATGGTGTAAAGCCCCACCTTCTTTTCACCTTCCTTCACCACCACCAGTTTACTGAGAGATTAAAAAAAAAAA